GTTTCTGGGTAAAACTGTCTGGCCAAGAGACAGAGGCTTTCATTTTTTAGAAAGGAAACCCTTCCCAACTGGTGGAAAATAAGCTTTTGCTTAGTGACTAATAACATAAACACAGACAAGATTTCTGAGCTTATAAATAACCAGTTGTCAAAGTGCCCAAGGGAAGCAGCCCTTTTTGCCAGAAGAATGGCCAAGAGTGTTCCTGTCACCTCGCAGATAGTGACCTTAACCATGGGCAAGGGGCCTTGGGCCAAGGGACTGGAAGCTGTTCGTTCTTCAGTACGAGTTCCCAAGACCTTGCTCTTATACATGGTAAGTCCTCGAGTAGTCTTGAAGAATAGTATAGATTCTCTAAGGGCCCTTCCTGCTCGAAAATCCTGTGATTTAGTGGCAAGCTACAGCATGTTTTAAAGAGCGATGCCAGCAGGGAGAGGGTAGCCTTAGGGTTTGGTTTGGTCAGAGCTTAAAAGGCAGACAAAGTCATTATGAGAAGACCTTCCTATTCGTTGGTCAAGGCACCGTGCTGAGGACACTAGACCTGTCAACTGATGGCATCTCCGGCAAAAGTGTAAGGAAGTTCTCAGCCTCATTTGAGTCTGCAGAACGTGAAGGGGGTGGGTGGGGAGGTAGTACATGCGAAGAGAAATCTGGCTGAGGACTTGGGGTCTGCAATCAGACTTCCAGGCCCAGTCCTGGCTTTGTCTCATCCTCTCTGAAACCCCAGCAACTAGCGTTAACCTTGCTGTACCCAGGTGTTCTCATCTGTAAAATGAGAAGACTCATGGGACTGGCCATATGACATAATGCATGCAAAGTGCTTATTAGTATGGTGCCTGGACATAGTAGGCTCATAATGAATCTCGCCATTTTTGTAAAGTTTATTTCTATCATGAGAGAGAGAGACAGAGAGAGAAAGAGAGACAGGCACTGCCAACAAGGTCTTCGTACTGCGATCTGCCCCAGTCTTAGCCAGCCAGGATTACGGAGACACATGTTGTAAACCTGGTTTATCTAGGGAGACCTCGTACCTGAACCTGAGACCCTTCCCTGTGGCTTTCCGATTGTGGAGCATTGTTACTGCTGTGCCCCTAGGGCTGGCCACAGATGTCACTATTGTTAAAAATAGACTCAAGCTACTAGACTGCCTGCCTGATGAATCATTGATGGTCCTAGTCTAGAACGCTTGTTTGCATTTAACTAATCTCAGGTTGCAGTCAGGGCCTTGGCTGTGAGATGTGGGCTGCTTCCTGTGTGTGTGTCAGGGGCAGAAGGGTGGGCCTAGCGTCTCAGAGTCTGGTCTAGCCACTTGGACAGTTCTCTGACCCAGCAGCTCACTGGCCCTGCCTGCAACAGCGAGGGCCCAGTTTTATCACTCAGTTATTATCTCTTTCATTCAGTGTTTCCCAGACTGGCTCTTGGTTTGTTCCTTCGGCTGTCAGTAGGAATACATTTAATTCATCATAGCCAAATTAACCTGCAAAACTCTGGGTTAAGGGAACCAGGCTCCCCAAGAGTAATCAAATATTCACATTTTCCAAACACTTTGCCTGAGTGGGACCATTATTTTTCTCCAGGATTTCTTGCAGGACTACTGCTCTAAGGAGCAGTTCCTCTCCTCCCTCCAAATGCGGTAGCACGGGCGGGAGTAGAAGGATGGCTGAAAGGAGTGAGGATGGGGCTGGATAGCCGCAGAGGTGACGCAGGCAGACTGACCAGGGATTATCTTTCAGAGGGAGGACCCACAGAACTTATATATTTATTTAAATTAAAAAAAAAATTTTTTTGAGCCAGCTGATGGCATAGTGGTTAAGGCAGCAGGATCCCACATGGTTGACTGCATAGTTTGAATCCTGGACCTGGTGGCTTAGGAAACATGCATGTGTGCCCAGCATCACCGAAGAATGGAGAAATGGAGGCCAAGGGATTTTGCTGTGATCATTCCCCCCGGGGGTGCTTTCTGACTTTCCCTGTCTCTCTGTTACTCTCTGGTGAGTGAGTGCATGCATCCTGTAACAAATTAAAAGCAATGTTTTCTTTTATTCATGTTAGAGTTCATGCACATGCACATGAGAGAGAGAGAGAAGTGAGACAGAGAGGGAGGAGAGAAGAGCATCCTCCGTAGGGTCTTGCCTGCCACGGTCCCCTTCCTCTGTCCCCTAGCCTGTTGGATATTGTGCACTGACTTGTGTGCCTGACATGCTTCAGGCTGACCAGGTCAAGGATTTGAACCACAGTCACCACAGGAGATCTGGCTTCTCTTGAGCAGCATGCCATGGAGCAGGCCCTGGCAGGACTTGTTTGTGGAAGCTGCTTGGTAAAATATTCGGCATATTGAACTGTATTGAACAGCGTTGTGTTTGTGTCTCCTCGATCCCAAATGATCCAGCTGGAAAGGAGAATCCAGGCACTGTAACAGTCCCTTTGTCTGCACAGGGCATGTGAGCCCCACTTCTGAGCGCCACAGGCAGGCCAGCAGCTTTGACCCTGTAAGGATGCACCAGACTCTTTGGGGTATGAGGCTCCTTGTTTTATTGTCCACGTACTTTCTTTCCTTTCTCCCTTTTTAAAATTAGAAAACCCTCTGCCTTCTCCAGGACATATCACTCCATCATGTTTGGAGCCTGAGCCATGCGCCCCAAGGCGGCCTTTCCAGTTTCCAGAGTTTATTGTTAATGAAAAGTGCACGACAAGCTGAAATCCCTGGCAGGAGCCACGGCTCAGGGTACACCGAGGCCAGCAGACGCTGGAGCAGCCACTCTATGTGGACGTCCTCTCCTCCGTCTTCTCCTCCCTGCCTACTTTCTCCCTCCTTTATTTTATCAGGGAGGTTTGGCTGGACTTGAAGGAGCCAAAAAGGAACTGCAAGGCCTGAGCTTCTAGCAGCCAGTGACAAAGTGTGGGAGGACAGAGGACCCAAGCCTGGGGCAGGTTCCAGTTCAGCTGTGTTCTTTGCTGAGTACGCACACATGTGTGTGCGTGTGTGTGTCAGTGCTAGGCTCTGCAATAATGTTGATACTGATGATGATAGCTAACATGATTGAATATGCACTATAAGTGCAGGCCTGCTGTGTGCATTTCACATACCAGGTATCAATAAATTCTCCCAAGAGTTTGTACTTAATAATATTCTCATTCTACAGTGGACTAAACTAAGGCACAGAGAGGGCAAGTGACTTCCTCAGTCACACAGCCAGTAACAGCAGATCCAGGAATCCTACTTAAAAGTGATTCCTTAACAACCTAGCCCAGGCAGAGGAAATGGATGTGTCAACCAGTAAAGAAACCCACACGATTTGAAATGCTTTGAGGCAAGCGAGAGCAGAGAGAGGCAGGAGAAAGATGTGGAAGCCACGCTGAGTCCGGTCTTGACTTCTTGTTCTACCAATGAGTTGGAGTTTGGCAGGTGTGCAGGTAGGGAGAAGACCACTGAGGTGGGAAACAGCAATGTGTGCCCATGCATCATGCGTGTGGATGTGTGTGTGTTTGTGTTTGTGTTTGTGTAGCTGTGAGAAATAGCAAGCAGTTCTATTTTGGTGAGTTAGGGCTCTGATAGGAATAGTTGAAGCTGATGAGATACAGGGAGATAGGCAAGGGTCCTTTAAGGTAGGATCTTGGATATCTTACAAAGGGTAATTAATTAATTTTTCCTGTGACTTTTGCCTTACATACAATCTTACATACAAACCTTACCCTACAAAGATTTTTATACAATATCCCTTAGGAGTGATAGATTACAAAACAATGATTATTTGTCTTTGCTCAAAGAATATCTTACGTGAAAGCCCAAAGTCTCCAGTGGGGTGACTCTGAGGGTGCCGAGGCCCTAGGGCCTGTCCTGTGTGTGGTATCCTCTGCCTCCGTGCAGTGGGCTCTGGACCTCTGCTTGGAGCACCCCGAGTTCGGGCATCCCTGCTGGAGAGCTTCAGAGTTGCACAGAGAGAACTTTTTATGGGCCTTTAGAAAACGATTTCTGTGGCAGTATGGAGGATGGTGAGACGGAGCTGAGGCTGGAGTTGGCAAACTCAGCTCAGGGTGGCCGCATTGCTGGTGGGACAGCAGGCTTTGGGGTGGGTCCACCTGCTGTGGGGGCCAGAGCTGATCCCAGCTAGGGCCAGAGAGCTGTCTTGTGTAGTGGTTCTGCTCTTAGTCTTTGGAACCCAACTGCCAGGTGGCAGGCTGTGTGTGTTTCTTAATCTCATCAGGCCTCAGTTTCTACCTTCTTTTAAAAGGTAAAATAGACATTTTCCTGATAATTTGTTGCAAAGGTTAAATGAGTTCGTACATGTCAGCTCCTCCAACCCTTTTACTACCCTAGCAATAGGAAGTAATTTGTCATTATTTACTGTTATTGTCCAAAGTGCACTCAGGAAGTTGGAGTTCATTCATTGAATCATTTTAATTGAGCCCGTACTATATGCCAAATACCATTCTAGGTGTTGGGGATATGTTTCAGTGAGTGAAATAGACCAACTCTCATTTCTATTCTAGTAGGAAAGACAGAATTAATCCATACACAGAGCAGTTGTGTCACAGGGCAGGAGGGGACACAGGATTATGGGGAGTTGGTGGGCTGCATTGGGAACTTTGGGTTTCATGTGAGATGGGAAGTCCGGAAGGCTTTGGGCAGCGAGATAACAAGATTAAGTACCCATGTTAGGGTCCGAGTACCTCTGTCAGGCCTGGTCAACACAAGTGGTAGTTGTGTTTGTTGTTACCTATTCTCCCACCCACAGGGGTATGTGATGGAGAAGGATCTTAGCCCAGGGACTGGAGTCCTCAGAAAAGAGAACTTCATTTCCTCTTACATTACGAAGGCCCGTCCAGGAATAGTACTGGGGTTGCAATCGTCCGCCAGGCTGGAAAACTAGCCTGACTCCCTGAGATATTGATTGGGCCGATTTGTCCCCTGTTTGGTGACATCTCTGTCATCCTCTCTCACATTCCCCGAAGTCACCATCTGAATAAACAGGGTATTTGTTTATTGTTCTTTGCCCCCATAGTGTTTGAGAACAAAGATAAGATTGTGATCATCATGGAATATGCGAGCAAAGGGGAGCTGTACGATTACATCAGCGAGCGGCGACGGCTCAGCGAGAGGGAGACCAGACACTTCTTTCGGCAGATCGTGTCCGCCGTGCACTATTGCCATAAGGTACCACCGAGCGGGCTGGCAGGAGGGAGTGGGTAATAGCATCATTTGATCCTTTCCACTGAGACAGTGCTGTCTATCCATCGTCATCCGTATGGAGAATTTACAAACCAGAAAGAATCATTACCCATGATTTCAGAAGCCAGGGTACCCCACTACTGACATTTTCACTTGTTCCAATCTTCTTCTTCCTTCTCTCTACATTTGTTTTTTGATATAAACATTTTTAAAAACATTTGCTAGAGGGTATTTGCACTGGCCAGAGAGTGACAGAAAAACAGAGATAGATAGGTAGATAGATAGAGAGAGAGAGAGAGAGATAGAGATCTCTATAGATATAGATAGGTAGATAGATAGAGAGAGAGAGAGAGAGATAGAGATCTCTATAGATATAGATAGGTAGATAGATAGAGAGAGAGAGAGAGAGATAGAGATCTCTATAGATATAGATAGGTAGATAGATAGAGAGAGAGAGAGAGAGATAGAGATCTCTATAGATATAGATAGGTAGATAGATAGAGAGAGAGAGAGAGAGATAGAGATCTCTATAGATATAGATAGGTAGATAGATAGAGAGAGAGAGAGAGAGATAGAGATCTCTATAGATATAGATAGGTAGATAGATAGAGAGAGAGAGAGAGAGATAGAGATCTCTATAGATATAGATAGGTAGATAGATAGAGAGAGAGAGAGAGAGATAGAGATCTCTATAGATATAGATAGGTAGATAGATAGAGAGAGAGAGAGAGAGATAGAGATCTCTATAGATATAGATAGGTAGATAGATAGAGAGAGAGAGAGAGAGATAGAGATCTCTATAGATATAGATAGGTAGATAGATAGAGAGAGAGAGAGAGAGATAGAGATCTCTATAGATATAGATAGGTAGATAGATAGAGAGAGAGAGAGAGAGATAGAGATCTCTATAGATATAGATAGGTAGATAGATAGAGAGAGAGAGAGAGAGATAGAGATCTCTATAGATATAGATAGGTAGATAGATAGAGAGAGAGAGAGAGAGATAGAGATCTCTATAGATATAGATAGGTAGATAGATAGAGAGAGAGAGAGAGAGATAGAGATCTCTATAGATATAGATAGGTAGATAGATAGAGAGAGAGAGAGAGAAAGAGAAAGAGAGAGAGAGAGAAGGCACCTCATTTGAGTGTGGTCATGCTGCAATCTCTTCGCCTCCATTTCTCTATCCTTTCAGTATTTGGGGCATGCGTGCATGTAGCCTGGCATGTTTCTCAAGTTTTCAGGTCTGGGACTAGAATTGCGCAGTCTGCCATGTGGGATCCAGCTCTCCTAACCACCAGGCCACCTTTAATTTAAACTTTTATTTTGAATATGTTTTGATTTACAGGAAAGTTGCAAAGTAATACAGAGAGTTTTTTATTCGCTTCACTCAGTTTACCCTAATAGTATCTTACGTTCATAGAGCACTCGTTGAGGGGCCGGCAAGTGGCATGGTGGTTAAAGGCGCTGGACTCCCACATGGCCGACCATGGTTCAAGTCTCAGACCTGGCGACTTGCTTTCTCACTTCCTCTCTCTCTCTCTCTCTCTCTGTGTGTGTCTCTCTGATTAAACTGAAAATAATAATGATAATAATAATAAATAAAATTAAAATAAAATAATTATTAAAAAAATAGTGCACTCGTTGAAACTGAGACACTCTTACTCATATGTTATTGTCAACAAAATTTCTGATTTTATTTGATATCGCCTGTTTTTCCACCAATGATGCTTTTCTCTTCCAAGACCAAACTAGAGAGCACCAAATTACATTTATTTTTACAGTTTTTTTTTTTTTTTTTAATTAGCAGTATTCCCTATAAGGGATGGTTGCCCCACAAATCCCTCTCTTCCACCCTTCTCTCCTTTATTTTGGGAATGCATACACACATGCTTTGTGTGTTTTTCAAGCCAATGAATCTGGGATTCAAACTGCCCAGATGGTCATGTGGGATCAAGCCACCTCAATCACTGAGCTACCAGCTGGCCCTATTTTTACATAATTTGTGTCTTGCTTTTTCACTTACTAGTGTAATCTTTGCATTGTTCTATTATTAAAAATGATCTGTAATTGTTAGACATTGCAGCTATTTCTGATTACAGGTTGAGCATCCCTGATTCCAAAAATCTAAAATCCGAAATGCTCCAAAAACTTTCGGAGCGCCAGCATGAATGCCGTAGTGGGAAACTTCACACCTGACTTCATGTGACAGGTCGCTGTCAAAATGCAGGCATGCAGCACTCAGCCTATTCACCATCTCCAAGGGAAACAAACTCCCCAGCTTTGTTCACTTGGGGTGGTGTCCCATCCCTAAGCTGTTTCATTATGTATATGCAAATATTCCAAAATCCAGAAAGATTTGAAATCTCAATCACTTCTGGTCCTAAGCATTTCAGGTAAAGGAAACTTATCCTGTATTACAAATAGCACTAACATCTTCATACATGAATACTTTCCTTTCCTTTGAATAATTCCCTTAGCAATTCCAGAGATGAATTTGCTGGGTGAAAGGCCTTGAGCCTCCTTTTACTCTTGGTGCCTTTCCTTGTGTAGGTTACCTCCACACATAGACATTTTACTGAAGCACACCTAGTGGGCTCTGCTCACCCAGCCACAGCAGAGCTACCCCTCGCCTCTGGAGAAGAAAATGAAGTACACAGAGAATTCTAAACCACGTTTCAGCCATCATTGTTATTCATCATTTTAGCCACGATTTTCATCCTAGGTAGACTTTACCTAGAACTGCCATACCCAGAACAATCATTCACGTTATGGCAAATATAACTTGAATCCCACATGGCATCAAAATAGTATCACCATCTTCGTACTTACTTTTTTTCTTTTCTTTTTTTTTTTTGAGAGAGAGATTTTTGCTATAGGGTGTGTGTGCTTGCCAGAGAAAGAGACAGAAAGTGAGAAACCCCCCCCACCCACCCAGGGGGAATGACCACACTGCAACCCCTTCTCCTCTATTCTCTTCTTAGGATCCTAGACACACACACACACACACATATGTACCCAGCATGAGTTTCAATCTGCTGGGTCAGGGACTCGAACCGTGGTTGACCATGTGGGAATCTAGCACTTTAACCACTATGCCACCTGCTAGCCCCATGTGTCATACTTCTTAATTTGAATTACTTTTAGGTTTATAGGAGAGTTGCAAAGATAGTACAGTTTCCCTAATGCATGAAGACATGGGACCTTCTGGTTTGTTCAACATAATGTTGTACAAGAGTAGATCTATAAGTAATTAGAAGACAATCATTCAAATCCAAATCCTTAACCCATGTGAACATTATCTGACCACTTGGTGGTGACTCAAAAGATGCTGGGACCAGCAGTTAGCATAATGGCTCTGTCGCTGAACTCCCATGTAGTTGACTGCAGTTCGAGTCCTGGACCCAGTGGCTAATACTCACACTGGGCGTGTGTGCGTGTGTGCCCAAGATCCCGAGAGGAAATGGAGGAGAAGGGATTGCGGCATGGCCATCCCCCTCTGGGGGTGATTTTTCACTTTCTGTCTCTTTGTCTCTCTGGCGAGTACATGCGCCCTGTAGCGAAAAAAAAAAAAAAAGTTCACGTTTCAGATTATACCATGTTTTGTATTTTAGGATTAGGTATAAAGTACTATGTACTGTGTTTTCAGTATTTGCAGTGTGTGAACACTTGGGTTCTGCATGAATGGGGCTTTAGTAGCCTTATTCCATCTTATTATAAGGCCCAGGAATGCAGCAATGTAACAAACTGCTCCCCATATTTAAAAGCAAACAAAACCAGGTAGCTCATATTCCCTGTATTTCTCCAAGAGACTTGATTTGGGCATTTCTGAATTAAAAACACTTCCCCAAAGGCTTGGATTAGAAAAAGAGTAGTAGAAATACACGTTTTCAGCTCACTCTCTCCAGTCAGTGCTTTTGGAGATATTAGGAACTGTCAAAGGGAAAAGAAAATAAACAACAGAGAACCGAGTGTAAACATGCAGATTCAAAACAAAAGAAATCTTGAATGAAAGACAAAGAATTTGTAGCCAGTTGGTTTGCTCAAAAGAGCAGCTTTTCTTGCAGATGTCCTGAATGTAGGATGACGTTGAAAATCTACTCCCTGCTATTTATCTGCTCAGCGCCAAAGAGCTGATTCTTTGAGTCCCTCTGCTCTTCTCAGACCCACCAAACCCCCAAAGGATAATGAGGTCTTAAGAAACAATGGGAGCAGGCCAGTTGTTCCTGATCTGTGGGCCACAGCCTGGTGGCTAATGACTCCTCCCACCTTCAGCTGGCCAGCTGTTTGTGAAGTTCAGTCTCCAGTCTGGCCACACCGTAGGGCAGCCACCTGCTCCGTCAGGCCAGTGGCTATGGTCTTATTGGCTACTTCTGCTTCGCCTTCCTCCTGGCTCTGAGTCCTGCTGAGCAGAGAGGGACTTTGAGAATCTCTCCTCCTGGCTGCTTAGGAAATCCCCTGTTATCCTCAGCTCTGAGTCTGTTTCATGAGTCAGAATAGATTGGGCCAGGCCTCTTTCCAGCGCTGGAAGACAGGCAAACAGGTAGACAGACAGACAGGCAAGTGAGGCCCGCAGAGCTCCACACTCATGAGTCTCCAGCAGAGAAATCTGCTTCCTCCCTGGGAATCACATCACAGACAGACATTGTCTGCTGTTGCCTGGGATTATATTGCTTTCACACAGTGGAATTACATTCCGACAAAGAATCCCCCCGCTGTTTTACAGGCTCCAGGGGAGGAGGGATTCCAGTCATTTTTCCCTTAACCACACAGCAAGTGACTAATGCTCTCCTGTCGCTGGCCGGTGGCTGGTGGGGAAGCATCATGACAGCAAGAGCAGCACTGAAGGATAGCGACGAAGACCACCGGGCTGGCGCGTCGCTTTAATCTGCCAAACGTTTTCCTTTGCACACCCTCCTCCACCCTCTTTCTCTCTCTTATCCCAACCACTCCCGTTCAGTTCCCTCCTTGCATTCTCATTTCAGAATGGTGTGGTCCACCGGGACTTGAAGCTGGAAAATATACTGCTTGATGACAACTGCAATATTAAGGTAAAACTCTTGCCTCATTGATTGATAGGCAGAGCCTGGGTATTTTATCCTGGTGGGGACTTAACCCGTGGCAAGCTGTAGCCCACAAATAAGGCGGCAGCTTCTTTCCCTGGCGGGCAGGTGGCGAAAGTCCCTTTGCTTGAGCTCTCAGGTCAAACCATTAAAGCCAACAAGCATTTATCGACCTCCTACTGCATGCCAGACCTTGTTCTTCCTGCTGGGATAAACAGAGATGACTAAGACACAGTACCTTTCCTCAGGAAGTGCATGGTCTAAAATGATCACTGTAAAAATATAACAACCAACGTCTTTTGCCATGTATTTCAATATCATAGTTGCCTGATGTCACTCAAATTCATTCTTTTATTTTTTGGAGAGGTTTTTGTTATAGGGCGCGTGCGCTCGCCAGACAGACAGAGAGATAGAAAGCGAGAAATCACCCCCAGGGGGAGTGGCCATGCCGCAGTCCCTTCTCCTCCATTCTCCTCTCGGGATCTTGGGCACGCACGCACACGCGCCTGGCGTGAGTTTTAAGCCACCGGGTCCGGGACGCAAACTGCGGTTGACTACATGGGAGTCCAGCGATATAGCCATTACGTAACTGCTAGTCTCTCAAATTCATTCTTTACAACAAACATACAAGATAGGTGCTGGTGTTCACATCATTTCACAGCTAGGGAAACTAAGGCACAGATTAGTCCAGTACCTTACCAAAGATAACATAGTGGTTAATGGTGGAGTTGCTATTTTGACCCATGTCTGTCTGATTCACGAGCCTAAGTTCAGCTCACTGTGCTCTATTTGCTAGCAGGACTCCATATTATTTAGACTTGGAACTCCTTCCCTGGCCACCTTTTTGTCACCTTTTGTCCCTTGTTTCCTGTTCCCGCCTACCGCCGACTCTCGCACCTGTGAAATCAGCCATAGAACTGGAAAGCCAGCCGAAGTGATGGTGTCTGCTGTTGGGAAATAGCAAGTGATGGAGTTTACTTTTGCAGAGGGTATTATTGCTGGCTGCTGCTGGAGCTGGAGAAAGCTCTCCTGGCTGACAGGGTTCAAGTGCCTCCTGGGGAGCACCCCGAATGTCCTTTTGATCACGTCTACAAAATAAGCAAATACAGTTTCAAAATAAACGGAGCTCGCTGCAAGGGTTTCATTATGAAATGGCCTTAGTACTCTCGGCACCAGCGGGAGCCCTCCGATTGGCCTCTGGTGACGTTAGTGGCTCTCCCTGGTCCCCCGACAAAGCATGGGAACGATCTTGCATCTTCTGTTTTTGTTGTTGTTGCAATCAGTCAAGGGGTGCTTGGAAGAGAGACCCTTTTCCTGCTTGCCGAGATGGAGTTGCTTTGGTGTTTGAATTCCATTTGTAGATCATGGTGACAACTATTAGTTACTGTGGAGGTGGCTCTTGGAATCCATGTCCTGGTGACCCTCTTGTTCTTGAGGAGTCATTGAGTTTAGTCCCATATTTCTGTGTAATCCACAGAGAAAGGATGAAATGTTTGAAGCAAGGAACAGGAAGAGAGGGTGAAATCTCAGGGTCTATTTCTGGAAAAGTGGCTGGATTACTTTAGAAGGAGCACTGGCCATAGATTTAGAAATTCCGGGCTGTGTGGTTTACTTGCTGCTTGATATTGGAAAAGCTAGTGAGCCTTGTTTCCTCAGCTATAAAATTGGGTAAGAGTAATACCCACAGGCTTGCTTTCAGAATGAGATGCGCTCCATTTCCTTCCATAAACTGCTAAGCACTTGTGTGTAAATGAGTCAAGGTTAGCAGCAATGGCTTTGGAGTTGGATAGCCTGGGTTTGAGTTGCATCCTTGTCCCCTACTAACTACAGGGTTCTTGACAAACTACTCTCTGACCTGAGCCTTGATTTCTACCTCTGTCAGGTAGGGGCACCCATCTCTGTGTGTGGGGATTATTGCATCATGAGACATTTCGGAGCAATTTTTATGTGCAGGTGCCCTGCGCCCGGTGCTTGGAGTCCTTAACAAATGTGAAAATGTAGGTGTGCTACAGTACAAGCATTTAGGGCTGAATTAAGACTATACCAGCAACCTGCTTTAATGGCTGGCCCCTGGAGGGAGCATTGATCTGGAAGTCAGATGCTCCAAAGGTGCCTGGGTCCAGGGGTGGGGGGTTGGGGGGTGAGAGAATGGTCAGTCCATGGCTGCAACACTAGATCTTGGCCTGGGGTCACATTCTAAGTGTTTGTGTCATCGACCTTGGTGACTTTCTCTCCACAATCTTCTTGCCACCTGCCCCCAGACCTCTCAGAATCAAACATAGTCTTTAGAAGGTTTGGAATGTGGGTCTCTCGCCTGGGGATTGAGTTCTGTGATGTAGTGTGACCTCTTGGTCCCATGACGCAGTCCCAGAAATGATAAGTCACATAGCTTCCTATGGAGTCATAGAATTCCCCAGTGGAAGAGAAGAATGGTTAGAATTCTGAACACAATTGTTCAGAGGAACAATGGGGCAGGAGCCCAGAGGAAGAGCTTATTTGCATAAGTAAGAGGACACTGGTGTTGGGCCTACTGCTCCCTGGACCAAGTCCTTCAACCAGGATTCCCTATGCTTCATGTAGGGAAAAAAAAAAAAATAGCACACCCATAGGACATGATAAAAATTAAAGTGTTAGTCATGCCTTTTCCTTAAGAATTCTTACTCCTGGCATTTTCCAAGGTAAAACATATACCCATTCATAGCCCAAACAGAAACCACCTTTTCCCACTCTCAGAACTCCTAAATTCTTTCTCTGCTTATTTGAAGAATCTTGCTCAGATGTGAGAATCCTAAAGATGGAAAGAACTGTGAGACTCATATTTCAACCCTGATTGTTAATGATTCTGACCTAGAAAGTCTAAGTAATGTGCCCAAGATAACACCGAGAGTCAGTGATATGACAGTGTCGTTTCCCCGGGATGTAGTACGGTGTTTGGCATCGAGCAGGTTCTGAAGAGCTGTTTGATTTTGGAATAAAGGAACAGCCAGCCAGGATTAGAACTCACATGTTTGACTTCCAGGCAGATTCTCTTTTCATCATCTCACACCCACTTCCAGGGTTTTTAAAAATCTGTTTCAGCTGGTGTTGATTTGTCTTCCGGCTGTATATGCTCAGCTCTTTCTGACTCAGCATTTTCTGAAACAGATTTAGAAAGGGCACTTGCTGACAAAGGCAGGCAGACACATGGCCACAAGCTGGCCTCAGTGTTCAAGACAGCCAAGGCCATCAGTGTCTGGACCTGGGGGACCATGGGCACAGATGAGTACCAACCAGGGGGATGGAAGCAGTGGAGTCCTCTCCTGAACCCCTCTCTAAGTGCGAGTCCCTCTTCTGTGTTTAAAGAGTGGAGAACCTTTGGCCCGAGAAGTCTGTAAAAATGCTGCTGGTTAAAATGCATCCGTGTCGCTGCAGGTTTGGTGTAAGCCATGCACCTTCTTCCCCTCCCCTTCCCTGCCTGATGTCGGTTTGCAAAGAGCACATCTGGCATTGGGAATTATTTATCTGGCCACTGCGAGAGGGTGTGGCTTCTAAAAATACTCACACAGTCGGTCTGCAGAAAGAATGAGAGCAATGTGCCGCTTTGGGTTGCATTCCGTACTCTGTGGAAGCATGTCAACGAAAATAGACACCCAGCACAGCATTAATTTGCAATGAATAAAAACGGGCCAAATTCACATCCCACTCTCTGGGAGAATGGAATGCC